ACGTCACCAGCAGAAGTATTGGACCCTTTTTTTCGAAAAAAAGTTTTCGTCGTGGATGGCGGACGCCAACATGTCTCCGACAAATCCGCGGTACTCTCTTCCCTGGATCACGATCGTCGTTTCCATCCTTCGCTCGACGGACGGCGTGCAATTTCGTTCCCCCTTTTTCGGCCGAGGCGCTGAATCGTGGATGCGTGGACGAGGCGCCATTACGCGGTGGATTTCAATTTGTTTCAATTTCAATACGACGAGTGAACGAACGCGTCGAACCATGTTCGTTCAACTCGATGATGATCGGGCCCCGCGAAAGAAACTGTTCCGTAAAGGCGAAACTATATTTTTTGGGGAATTGTGCGAGCCGAGGCGTATCTCGATCGAACGATAACGGTATACTGCCACTACCGTACGTAGTTTTTCGATGTCAATTTCGCGCGCGACCTCTTCAAACTTATCTAAGTATGTACAGACCAGTACGAGGTATATCTATATATCTGTACCGATGATACAATGACGTCGTAGCTTCAATGGGGGGGTAGCGCAAATAGCGTAGAAAAATGTGACGATGGCAAGGTAGATCGGTGGATAGCGGTAGAAACCTTTCCTTTTTTCTTTTCTTCCTTAACGAGGTTGCAATACAGCCGAGATCGACGATGCGACGGGAAATTAGTTTGGGGAACGTCGAAGGTGCGATAAGACGAGCGAGTTGAAATGTTTGTGGACCGCAAGTGGTCGTTGGGGAACGGTTTCCACCGTTATTTCCGGTACCGGTGGGGAAGAGAACGGCCGTTCGAACGTGTCGAACGACGGTGAACGTCTACGTTAAAGCCTGGACCAGATTCGCGACACAAGCGCGTGCAAATCATCTCTAATTTCTACTAATCGTTAGTTAGGTTTTTTTTTTCTTTTTTTTTTTTTTTTTTTTTGAGACACACGTCTAAACGCACATCACCCATCTCTAAAATTCGAATTTCTCGAGAAACGTTGTACACATAATTTACGTAAATACGTGATGGATTTGTACGCGGGAATCTAATTGAAGGAGCAACGAGGGGTTGTTCCGTGGTTCAAATCAATCGTTTGAAAAATCAAACGCACGATGGAGAGATCGTAGAGTCGCGATTACAGTGAAAAATCGGGGATAAACGAGAAGGTATCGGGCGACAACAATCAAGTTTCAGCATCTCCCCGCCGCTGTTCAATTAAATATATATCGGACGACTATCGAACGATCCAGTATAAAAATAAATAAGCTCTCTATTCTATGTAAATCCAACGTTAACGCGTTAACATTAGACGTCACAATCAACACAATCGCTTACGTGCTATCTTGCGATCAAAGAGAAGAGAAGATCGCGAAAGAGAAATAGAGTCTCGATTCCAACCAAGTATGCGTATTTGCTACGGCATACGAAGTAACGAGATTTCCCTTTCTCGATACGAGAACAGATACATACATATATATTACATCCATTCTATTGGGAATCGTGGAAACGTTTCTAGTCAAAACGCTAAACTCATTCGATCGATTAATATATTTGATATATTTGTATTATATTTCAAAAGTTTCTCCATTCTATCCATTCTGGTATCTCGTGTTTCGTTTTCGTGGAATATCATCTCTCCCCCCGAAAGGAATAACGAAACGATTATTCTATTCGTCGATTCGCGCATTATCGAAACGCTTTCGATTCGAACATTTTTCATTCGTCCCTTTCCTTCCGTGATTTTAAAATCGAAGAACTTTATTTCCTTTTTTTTTTTCTTCGAACGCTTTCCATCCATCGGTCGACATTGACGAGAAACAGAAAAAGAAAAAAGAAAGAAAGAAAAGAACAGAGATACGTTTTCACGATTTCCCTATCGAGTTGGGGATAAATAAAGTTCTAGCAAATTTAGTTGCGGATAACACATTCGCGTGTTTGCATCGTTCACGCATCTCGTACACACTCGCTCGCACACGGCCGTGAATTCGCACGATTAACGAAATAATCGATACTTGCAGATTATGCTCGCGTATGAATTGTCATGGAACAGCGGCACACGAGCAAACGATTTTCGTCCTACACTATATCAAGCTAATTAATTTAACCACACCGTGATTAACTGGAATTGTACGTTTCGTTGACTCGTTGGTTTATGATTACGAACGAATATTTATCGACGAAAGTTTTATCGAATATTTCGAATATTACGAATATTTCAAGAGTAGTTCGAATGGTAAGGAATGTGCGCTTACGTCTGCGATTTTTACCGTGACGCGACGTCAGTAAAGAAATTATCGCGAAGAAATTTATTATTTCGAGCAGTAAAGTAAATAAACGTGCTCGCGCTCGAGAATAAAATTTCGATTAAATTTCCCTTCCCGTTGGAAGAAATCCGTCTAAAAACGAATTGTCACGTAACAAATTTCAGACGTAACCGCACATTTATTCAGGTCCCTTTTTCGTTCGTGTCCCTCTAAATTCTAAAAAAAAAAAAAACGTCATCGAGTTCGATCCTATCGCGTTTTTTTTCTTTTTTTTTTCTTTTTTTTCTTCTCTAATTGATCCGTTGTTCCTTCTTTGTACTTCGTTGTTTGCACACGGACGATATTCATTCTGCATTCTAGACCTATCTATTTGTTGTTTTTCGTTTTTTTTTCTTTTCTTTTTTTTAGAGAAAATTCTAAGGTATCAAAGAGGTTTTCAAATTTCTCTCAAAATCTCGTATTTTTTTTTTTTTTTTCTTGGTTCGTTTAATTCGGTTATATATCGAGCGATTTTTCTATATAAGTCGATTCGCCGAGGAGACAAATCGCGAAGAATTTTGCATCTCGTAAATCGCAACACGACACACGTACACGACGTTTGACAGTTAGGAAATGAAATTTCCAGTTGATTTCAGCCCAGCAGGCATGGGAAAATTTCGAGTGAAATCGTGATTCCACGTCGCCGATTTAACAGATTATCCGCGTTCTCAACTAAGCGTCGTAAATTCGTGAGTCGCCGATATAAACACATATCATTTTAACAGCACAAATAAATATTTTCTCCTTTTATGCGTGTATACGCGTATGTGCGCGTGTGTGTGTGTGTGTGTGTGTGTCTATGTGTGTGTACGTATATGTATATCTACAATAATACATCTTTCTTCCTTTCGTACAAGACACTCGAAACGTATTTCAAACGATTATCTCACTCGCCTCTTTCTCGATCGCGACTCGGAAAAAAGACGAACGCGATTAGAGGGATACAATTGTCTAACCAAGTGGTTGGTTCACATACATATTTTGTTTCTTTCTTCTTCTTTTTCTTCTTCTACATCGACAAATTTTATTGATTACAGATTAGATAACATTTACTCGGTACGGACGATTACAAGTATGGACCCGTTTTCCAAATCCACGCAATCATGGACGTCGAACGTGTTGAACCTCTTCTCTTATAATTATAATTCTCATCTGGATGGAGCACGCGTGAAACGAGAAAACTTGTACGTTCGTGTACTCTCAAAATATCTACTCGAGCTTTTTCTTCTTCCTCCTCCTCCTCCTCCTCCTCTTCTTATTTTTGGTCGATTCGTTAATTTTAATTATATAACAGATACAACGTACGTTTACAGATATTTATATATGTACATATACAGAATATGCATATACGTGTGTTTCTCTTTTTTTTTTTTCTTTTTTTTTTATGTATACACCAAACCGTGTCATCGGCCGATTTATTTCACCGGCTGACGAAACGAAATTTCCGAAACTGCGTTGATTTAATTGACACTTATTCATTTTATCCTCTTTCGAGTTCGAGATTCTCTTCGTATTTGAATAGTGATCGGGATATCTGTCGGACACGCGTGGACGTTTTTTGGACTCTGTAGATTTTCAACGCGGCCTCAACGTGGAAGGAACGACGTCGATATATTTTATATCCTTAAAATAATTTTAACAAACAGACGTTCCCGTTTAAGCTTCTCATCATCCGATCAGCTCCGTTCGTCGTGCTCGGACAACGAGACACGAATAAAACATACACACATGTCATATTTTTTTTTTGTTTACACTATTTAAAGGCGTTTGACGATTTCCATCATCTCGTTGACAATGGAAAAATGACAAATCAAATCATCACGATTCCTTTCTATTCTTTCGATCTAATCTTTCGACGTCTCGTGATTTCTGTTTGCTGTTTTCAAATCTATATTTGAAAAAAAAAAGTTCACGAGATTCCCGTTTCAATGGAATGGAAAACAATAGTTGAAATAGTTTATAGAATAAAAAAAAGTTGGTGTATCGTATCAAATTGAATTCAGGATTTACTGCTCGTAGTTTCATCAATCTCATAATCGCCGATAAAAAAAACGAAACTTGTACAACGAAACTTTTTTATACGGATGTGACAATAAAACCAGTTAACCATATATTACGCGATCGTCAAAGGAATTTGGAGAAAAGTCGACATTCTCCGTTTGGTTAGAAACTTCATCGAGCGCGAATTTTCGAAACGTTCGAAAATGTCGAAGAAAAGGAAGAAAGAAAGAAAGAAAGAAAAAAAAGAAAAGACAAAGGCTTACCTTCGATCCCTTTGATAAATATTATCGATTTATCAAGCTTCCTCTCTCTGACGAGTTTCTTTGCGAGATCCTCTATATGTAAAATCTCCTCCGGTTAACCGTTTAGTTTTCTGTAATCCTTAACGTATAGGCAAATATAGGGAATCTTTTGATCTATTTTCTTCTTTGCTGCGCACTATTCGCGGCTCCTTTCTTCCAAATAATTCACAAGAGGAACCTCTCGTTCCCCTTATGGATTCGATGAATTAATTTCGGTTTAATCGAATGGCAGCCTGTCTCGCGATCGACTTTGAATCGACGAGACTTTTGTTTATCATCCTTTCCTTTATCATTCGTTCTCAAAGCGAATTCAAAATTTATTAATCTCCCCCGTATCACGAAGGCAAAATTTTCTAAACGCGAAATCCGATAATACGATAAACAATAGACCACGTTTCCACCAAGTCGTAGTCTCGTGGATTCTGAGCAGATGGAACGCACCCACGTTTAATTAGCCAGGAACGTATATCACGTTTATTCTCTTCCGTTTCGTGGAATGGGAATTTCCGTTTCATCTTGGCTGGGAAACGTTCGATTTTTCCCCGAAATTCATTCTTCTTCGTTAACGGTTTTGATCAAATCGGTAAGAACGAATTAATTGCAATCAGAGAGTCAGCAAGGATAAATCTTTCTCGAAAGGTTTCCCCCCCCCCCTCCCTCCCTCGAATCTAGGTAACTTTAGTCAGATTTTACGGCGATATTGTTTACGATCGACAGGATCCTCCTCCTCTTTGAAACTCGATCCTCGCAAGGTTTGCTAAGTTACGAAGCGCCGTTGGTCGCCATTGCTCGAATCGACGTCGCAGCCCAAGCTCAATCGAAAGTGTACCCCTTTTCCATTGGACGGGGCGAGATCACGATCCGACAGGTTAGATTTATCGCGATTAATCTCGTCGTTGGAAACGATGTCGCCGTTTCGTTGTTTCGCGCGATACTCGCTCCCCTTTATGACACCCTTCAGAAGTTGCCCTTGGACGACGCTCTCCGGCCCATCCTTCGCCCGCCCTTTCTCGCCCACCACCTCTCTTACGCGAGTAAAGAACTCCTGCGGTTATTTGTATCTGGAAAAAGAAGTCGACACGAGTCGATGATAAAACGTAGATTGTACGTACTTTGTACTATCTCGCAGATAAATAAATTGACCGAATTGAAAATGACCGCGAGAAAAGGATGTTTCAAGGAGTCTTGGAAAATTTTTGACAAAGATTTTCGAAACGTTCTTCTCTCGTAGGGTATCTCCTTCGAGGGAGGTGGAACCGAAACGACGCCACCATGTGTCCAATATGGACAACGTGTTCGCGTCAACGCAGCAAGTTTTTATTCAAATCTGAAACACGAATGATCGAAGATGTTCGAGAGATATTAAAATTTTATATAGGAAATATCGGAGGAGTATCGAGCGCTGGTGTAGCAGTTTACCGCTACTCGGTGTAATTCGTTTCACGCCTCGAATCGTTGCACACGTTCACGATATTTCTTCACGGTCTTAATATTTCACACGATTATTTAACATTCCCCTTGATCGATGGTTTTTCGTTACGAAAGGTTAGCATCGGCCATCTTCTTTCCGCAGCGACACTCTATTTCTCCAAGAAACATCACTGTTTTCCGTCCCCATAAATTACGCTCTCCTCAATTCGTCATATCGAGTTACACGCTTCGTTTTTATCCGAATTATCCGTAAAATTGTCTCTCTCTCGATCCAAGACCGAGAGAGATTAGCCGATAAAATCGGAAAATCGCGAATTTTGAAACAATTTTATCGCCACTTTTCCCTCGATCCTCGAGAGTTACAAGTAATAATAACAGCTGCTCCGACTCGAAACGGAAACGCAATATATCACCGCTCGTTAAGATCGATTCGAGAATCTGAAACGAGGACCCTGCAAGCTCGCGTATCGTTTAACTAAGGTATGCGTGTCGCGCAATTCTTTCCCCGATCGATCTGCCCGACACGCGAACCGGCGTTTAGCACGGAGGAAAGACACACGAGGAAACGGGAGATGGGAGAAAAGCAGCGGTGTTTTCCACGCAACGCAAACGAGAATGTTCGGTTCATCGACGCGGCCATTTCTGCACCGTGGCCTCCTCGTATTTACGAGCCTTACCAGCGCCGACACGCGACCAAATTCGTTGACCTACTATTTTGCACGTAGATCCAGTTAGCGTGCACGTGTACGCTGGGGCGGGCTGATTGCTTTCCGGGTATAGAATATTTGGCTTTCGCGTCGCATGCATGCGAAATACCCTCAGTACATCTACGCTCTGACCCAATATCCTAAAATACCTCGATTACACGCGCGGGAAGGGTTCGTCTCTTGTTGGGCCGAATTCGATAGGGATTAATCGGTGTCCAAAGCGACTTGACTTTTCGCGATACGAATTTTTTGAGATTGCCTTTTTTGAAAAGATTCCCTAGAATATCTTAATTACAACGCGCGGGAAGAGTTCGTCTCTTGCTAGGCCAAATTCGATTCAAATTAAGACTTGATTTTTCGCAATACAATTTTTAAATTTTAATCGAATGGCAATGTACAAAACGATTTGACTTTTCGCGATACAATTTTTCTAAGATTGCATTTTTTCGTGAAAAGATCCAATACCCTAGAATACATCACGCACAGAAAAGATTCGTCTCTTGCTAGGCTGAATACGATCCAAATTAATTCAAAGCGACTTTTCGCGATACAAGTTTTAAATTAATCCAATGGTGGTGTCCAAAGCGACTTGACTTTTCGCGATACGATTTTTCTGAGATTGCCTTTTTTGAAAAGATTCCCTAGAATATCTCAATTACAACGCGCGGGAAGAGTTCGTCTCTTGCTAGGCCAAATTCGATTCAAATTAAGACTTGATTTTTCGCAATACAATTTTTAAATTTTAATCGAATGGCAATGTACAAAACGATTTGACTTTTCGCGATACGATTTTTCTGAGATTGCCTTTTTTCGTGAAAAGATTCCCTAGAATATCTCAATTACAACGCGCGGGAAGAGTTCGTCTCTTGCTAGGCCAAATTCGATTCAAATTAAGACTTGATTTTTCGCAATACAATTTTTAAATTTTAATGGCAATGTACAAAACGATTTGACTTTTCGCGATACAATTTTTCTGAGATTGCCTTTTTTTGTGAAAAGATTCAATACCTTAAAATACACACGCGCGGGTTCGTCTCTTGTTGGGCCGAATTCGATCCAGATTAATCGGTGTCCAAAGCGATTTGACTTTTCGCGATACGATTTTTCTAAGATTGCATTTTTTCGTGAAAAGATCCAATACCCTAGAATACATCAATTACACGCACAGAAAAGATTCGTTTCTTGCTAGAATACGATCCAAATTAATTCAAAGCGACTTTTCGCGATACAAGTTTTAAATTAATCGAGTGGCGGTGTACAAAGCGATTTGACTTTTCGCGATACGATTTTTCTGAGATTGCATTTTTTCGTGAAAAGATCCAATACCCTAGAATACATCAATTACACGCACAGAAAAGATTCGTCTCTTGCTAGGCTGAATACGATCCAAATTAATCCAAAGCGACTTGACTTTTCGCGATACGATTTTTCTGAGATTGCATTTTTTCGTGAAAAGATCCAATAGAATATCTCGATTACACAACGCAAGAGTTCGTCCACGTCTCTTACTAGGCCGAATCCAGATTAATCGGTGTCCAAAGCGATTTGATTTTTCGTGATACAATTTTTCTGAGATTGCATTTTTTCGTAAAAAGACCCAATACACACGCGTAAAAAGGATTTGTCTCTTGCTAGACTGAATACGATCCAAATTAATCGAATGGCGGTGTCCAAAGCGACTTGACTTTCCGCGATACGATTTTTCTGAGATTGCATTTTTTCGTGAAAAAAATTGAATAAATGATATTCCGTACTATTCATTCATATATAGAAATTGAGACAATTGATGAGGGGTACAACTGTTAATTATTCGTTGTACGATCTTATCAATTACATCGAAACGGAATCGGTCCAATTTTGAATAGAATTTTGCACAGATGGAGATGAATCCGTGCACCACGCTGGTCTCCGTTTCGTCCCGTTTAATTCTATTACACATTTCGAGCGTAAGCCACGGCCGCAACGAACAATCTCTGCAACAAAGAGCGTATCGAAGTATCAATATTGATGGAGCTTCGTAACCCTTGAACTTTCGCTTCGAAGCTTCTATCAAGCGAATCCCACGGAAAACAGAGGGAGAACGGTTATTTCTATCTATGCTCGTTGCTTTGAAACGCGCACAACTTTTCTCCTTTTTTTTTCCCCTCCCTCCACGTTCCACCTCCTCTCCCCACGTTTCGACGTTTCACCTTCCTCGCGTGCGGTTTACGCGCACCAGAAATTCCTATTTCGATTCGATTTGCCGAACGCGCACGTACGAGCACAATGGGAAGCGGCGGTTTAACGCATCGTTGGCTAACAATCGCGTCGAATACCAGTAGCTTCACACAGTGATTTCACGCTCCACCCTGCGTGGATCCGCGGATTCGTATCAGGGTGAAACGGGTGTCGGATCGAGCGCCACGAACCACGGACGACGGGTTCCACGGCCTCGAGCTTACCTTTCCGATAACGGGCAGGCTAGGATTCTGAAAGACGCCAGCACGGTTACCACGAGTAGCATGATCCCGAACGTGATGTACATCACGCCGAGATGCACCAGGGAGAACATGTAGAGCGTTTTGTGACAGTGGTCGTTCGGAGTGTGCAACAGGAACGTGTACGATGGCCACATGATGTGAAGTATCCAATAATTCCCTGCGACAGAAATTCGTGTCGTCACGGATCGGTCGTCGATCGTTTGGAAAATGTGGAGAATCGGCGAAAGGATCGAGTTTCCGCCAAAGAATTTCTCGCGTACGAAACGTTAAACGAGCATGTCACGTTCGACTCTATAGCGTATGGAGAAACACGTAAAGATAAACGGAAACAAAAAAAGAAGTTAAAGTTGGAGGCTCGCCAGTTTTTTTTAAATGGACGCAATTATGTTTGTATATATATATATATATATATATATACACACACGTTTATAACTAGGCGCGATCACGAACGAAAATTAGGTTACACACATCGGAGCAGCTTACCAGCACCAGTGTCTGGTAATTACCGTGGCGGAACACGATCGATCGTTTTTGCTCGCGTCGTTTCGCGAATGAAAAAAAACAAATACGCTCGCTCGATGTCCGGTACGATGAGAGAATCGGGAGCATTTTATTATCCGAACATTCTTTAACATTCGTTCTTTTTTTTTTTTCCTTTTTTTTTTTTTTGTATTATTCGAACAGAATCATCCTCAAAAAATTATATTTCCATCGTGAATCGCTTTGAGCGTTCTCTCTCTCTCTATCGAATCGCGTACGCGGTGCGTCAGTCGTTAAAACGTCGAGACTCGTCGTGACAAAAGCATTAAAACACGGGGACGATTAAGCGTCACGTGATCGATCCATTCCTCTCTATATAGAGTTGGTCGTTCGAATAAAGTTACATTAAGCGATTACTTATTAAAACGTTTAAATAATATTTATTCAGCAGCTATTATACAGTTGATCCGCTTTTCACGTAACCTCGACCCTTTCGTATTATTATTATTATTATTATTATTATTATTATTATTACGTTTCCGTACAATAATAAATTATGGAAGTAGAACTGAGCAGAAGTAAAACTTTATTCGACTAACTTCAACTATTAAATTTTGCCCATAGCGAAGCAAAATTTAATCCAGATATATCAGTATCCGCACAAGCGTGGCGTGTTCTCTCACGAAACGAAGGAAAAATTTCTTCCTCCGACTCACCCATCACGAACCAGCCGAGCAGGAAGCATGATAAGACGATGATGATCAATTTCATGAAGGAAATTTGGGGCCTGTTGGATGGAACCGGGGGCATTTCCGGCCTCCTCGACTGTATCTGCGAGTAGATGAGCAACATCATGAGCATGGTTCCGAATGTTCCACCGATCACCAGGTACATGGGTATCCTTGGCTCCTTTGGACAGTCTTTCGAGTAATTCCAACCTGCGGGAAAAGGAAATTTTTCTCAATTCGCTCTCGTGTTTCGCGTGCATTCCCGTCGGAATCCCAATCCCAAAACTCTTTTTCCCGGTTACTTATCGAATTGGCAAAACGGATGGATCGATATCAAAAAGTTTTCGCGCTTCCCAGCTTGAATAATGCAACGAAGCTCGCCTGACTTTCGCTCACTGTGTCGCGTCCTATTTCGATACTTAACTAGGGTTGCGTGCCAACCATCGCACGCCCGATGCATTCTTCGCCGTTGCTCCCTCTATCTTACGATTATCATCTTAATTGCTGGTTGATCGTAGATGGACCACAATGCGTCGTGTCACCGTGTGCGATCTTGATTTTCACGCATTTTCAACACGTACGTTCGACAATAGAAAAGAATTATTCCATCCGTAATAAACAAGTATACGAATAATAACGATAAATAATGAAGAAAGGCATTTCGTCGATTCGATAAAAAAAATTCTCATTCCTGAGAGAACGTGACGATCGCGTAATTTTCTGTTGGAGCAAAAGTTGCTCGTTAGAATCGCGGGATAACGAACCATCGATCAACGAATCATCCTAGGTTTCCAGGGGCTTTCGGTTACCGCAACGCGGCTATAAATCTTCTCTTACGTGGTAGAAACACGTTCACCGACACACACACGTAATTTTCCCGCTTCTACGAAGCAGCAGCGTCGTTTTTATCGATTCTAGGAACGTTCTACGCTCGGCGAAAAAGGTGAACGTACCGTGGGCGATGTTGCTCGCGATAAACGCGGGTTGGTGGGATCGTTGGTGAGCCGCGGGGGGAGCGAGGGAGTACGTTTCGCGTGTCGTAAGTAGCGCGCGGTTCGCGTGTCGCGGGGACTCAATTAGCTTGGGAAACAATGGGGGCGCGATTCAGAATCTCGGGGAGATTCGTGGCTCGAATCGTGACAGATCCTTCGATCACTGTTTTCAAATTCCAATCTCACGATCCAGTTTCTTGTTATTCGCATTTGGGTTGGCTAATATTCGCAGTTTTCTTTCCAAGTTGGAGGGAATTGCGTGTGTTGATTAATTTTGATTAATTTTCGAGGAGCGGGCTTTGGTCGGTCCAAGCTTTGGTTTGACGTAGCTTCGTTACGGTTTATCGAGTTTAGAGAAGGAGTTTAATACATGTGTCGGGATTTTCGCGGTTTCATTTTTCATCGTTCTCGCGTTTAGAATAGAACGGATGATCGAATTACAAGCAGGAGGAATAGGGAATCGCGTTAAAAGGGTCATCGTGACCTACGTTAGAAATTAATGCGAACCAAGGTTAACAAGCTGCTTTCACATCACCGGCGCATTTCCACTGCATTAACGTCGAATCATATGCAAATTTCATGTGTTCTATATATATACGTGTATATCTTTCGTGAAAGTAATTTACGAATCGAGAGGTTTTTGTAGGTAGGGGAAAAAAAATAAATAAATAAAAAAAGATCCTTCGCGCACGCTATTTCTATATTATCGCGATTCAGTTTGCGATATGAAAACGGGGAGTTCGAGAGTTTCGAAAAATGGATTTTCCTCGAAAGAATGCGAAACAATTTTTCTCGATTTTTCATTCATCGATGCCCAAGGATGAAGAAACTCTTCGCGACACTCTTAAGATCCTCTATCAAGTTGATCGTTAACAAAACGTAGCATAGGTGATAACGTTACGAATGACGACAGGTTTCTCCAAGTTTCGCTTCGACTAATTTATTGATAACCGCTTATAAGCCGAGTATCGATTCGACTCGACTCGTAACGTGGAACTTGCCACGTGTTTGCTACATATTTTTTTACATATTTTACGCAATTCAACTAAGCTTTTCTAAGACAAAAAAATTTCATTTCCCTTCCCTCGGCCCGTTTCTAATTTGAATCGAAACGACTCGCCCTCTTCCAATCGAGTTGAATCAAGGCCCAATGAAAATATTTCAAGGATTCGAGCGGGCCCAACAGGGGATGGTTGTTCAATTTTCTTCACTCACCGTAAATCAACATGAGGATCGGGACTGCCGACAGGCAGAACAGGCACACGGTAACGACCCTCGTCCTGCACACGACCCTCATTCCGCGGAACACGAAGTCGCAGATGTTGTTCGCCTCCAGGTTCGCGTCCTTCAGCTGGAACACCACGGAACCGTAGGTAATCACGCCCAGATTCCTGTTCTCCGCCGTGTTCTCAGCCACTTTGGCGCCGTTCGCGAAAAGACGCCGCGACTCGTCACCTGAAAACTGAGCGTCGACACGGGTTAACCGACGGGTTCCACCTCCATCGTAACACGAGAGGAGCCCACTTCAATTTCAATGTTCCAAGTGCTTTGTCGACAAAGCAAGGGGGAGGCAGGGAAACCGAACCGATTTTCCGTGGTTTCGAAGCAACTCAGGAGCTGGATAAGCCGCAAGCTTTTTCGAAATTACGACGGAAAAGGTGAAAATTTGTACTTTAAATTTGCACATCACTCGCGTTATCGACTCGCGAAAGTTGAAAGAGTTCGAAAACTGGCTAATTGAAAAAAAAAAGATCGAAGCGAAAGATTTTTCGAATCGTCGTTTTTTATATTATATTATATTATTTGTTATATTCGATTTATTCGAATAACCAGTCGTTTCGATCCAACGTGCGGCCCGTATGCTTTTTACGACTCGGTTATTTCTTTGCCCCTGTAAGGGGCTGGCTGGCGCGCGCACGCATACACACATGCACACGCACGACACGAGCCAGTTCGTTATATCGTTCGTAAACCTTCTCGGCCAAGAAGATGGGACATAAGATCGCGAAATATGCGACAGGATGAAAAATACGCGGTCGTATCTCGCGGTGAAATTGCCGTACGTATCGTAGCATGTTACCCTGCTAAAATTCCAACGATGTACATCGTTCTTGCTAACGAAATTCAATAACCGGGTCGACGATGCGGAAAAAGAAAAAAGAAAGAAAGAAAGAAAGAAAGAAAGAAAGAAAGAAAACGATTTTCGGGCGGTGGTGCGCGCGTGGAATATTTTATTTCGAGTGGTATCTCCGCGTTGATACCATGAATACCCCCTCGTAGTAGAAGCGGAGTGAAATCATCATTGGGAAGGGAGTACACGAAACATTCTGTGCAACGATATTTCACGTAGAGATGGAATAGTGGCGTAAAACGTTAAAAATTAAATTAATAGAAATTAAAAAAAGAAAAAAAAGAAAAATTGTTTCGCGGAAGAATACCGAACGTATTCACAAACTGCGAACAAAGGCTTTCGAGAAATTGTAACCGCGTTGTACTCGTACTTTGTCTAACGAAATTTTCCTAAAAAGGAAGGTTTTTCGAGGCTTTCAAGAGGTGCTATTATCTCGCGCGAGGAGAAAAACCAATTTTTCCACTTCGTGTTCTTTCTTTTCGAATATTTTGTTTTTTTCTTTCTTCTTTTTTCACGCGCAATAAATATCGGATGGCGCGCGAGGGAAGGAGAAATGCACGTCGTACCTGGGACACGGAGCTGCTGGCCCGCCTGGAATCCTCGAACGTGTTTGGCCCATATCCTAAATTGATCTGGACCGTGCTTCCGCGGGATTTGACACTTCCCGTGTTCACCTCCTTCCTCTCCCGAGAAGGGGAGGAATTTCGATTCCCGTTTACTCCTGCACAAACATTGCCGAAATCTTGAAATATATATATATATATATATATATGTTCACCGGTGGAAAGAAGTCTCGAGAGAGGCGCACGAGTCTGTCTGTATTCTTTATTTCAAACGCTGCTTTTTCGAAATCGTAAAAATTATTTTCATTTACGAAGTTATGGATCAGGATAAATATTCAAGAATGAAACATCTTCGAAACTATAAATTATCTTGATATAAGATATTAATATATAATATATAGTACGTCTAGTTTATTCGTGTACGCACAATTACATTTATAAATTAAACTATCGTTGTAAAAAAATTTGTATACTGATATAATTTGTATATTGTATATACTGATAATTAATATAATATAATTTGTATATTGTATATACTGATAATAAAAATATATTGTATATACTGATAAATTTGTATATTGATAGCATATTGTGGAATCCAATGATGGATCGTTCAAAATTTAATAGTTATGAATAAAGTTTACTTCGATATATAGCTAGGAATAAATATCACTTAGTAATTACTTAAAGTACTCGTTATCCGAGATTTTAATTACTTTTTCAACGGGTCGATGCCCAACTCTGCCCCGGATTCTATACCTACGTTAATGCATCGAGGTTTATATATAGATCGTCGTTTTGGATTGATATATGGGTTGATCATGAAACAGAAAAATAGGCGTGAAAATAGGCACATTAATCATTAATCGGATTCCTTTCGCGAGACTTCTTTCCACAATAACAGGTGAACAATACCTTAATCGCAGGGAATAAATAATTCTTTTTCTATTAAAAAATAAATAGAGCCTCTGACGAAACCATTCTCGTCTTACCCTCCCCTCTCCCATTTTTTAATCTACCAATCGTGTTTTGAATTCGCAATCCAGTGAATTGCTGCCCGGCATCGGTGCAATAAAATACATCGGAATAAATCGAAAGCAGATATCACAGTTGGAGAAACACGAGCAATTTCGAGCGATTCGCTTTATCCTCGGCACGACAAAATCCAATTATTAATTTTTCCCCTGTTAACTGGTTGGCCGCTTCCTTTCCGTAAATCGTGGCTCTCGTTTCAGAGAGAACTGGCGTTTCCAATCCGGCCGGAGAGGAGTCGATTACCAAGAATGCCGTTTAAATCCTTAACGCGTCGATGATTTATCACTTTTCAAAGATATAATTCCGGAGTAAACTACTTTTATCAACGTAACCTTTTCGAGATCATCGTTCATCGAATCGTTCAACGAGTGGGCGTCCGATTATCTATCCACTCTCTTTGTTAGAAAGTTAACTCTAAACTTTTTCTTTTTTATTTATTTACTCATTTTTTATTATTTTTCCACGAAAATATTGCAAGCTCGCTATCAAAGGAAAGAGAAACGTAGAAGTTCGCGTTATACTCGTGTCGCTCATTCGTGGTTCGACGTGGTTTGAGGCAAAGTCAAATATCAATAACAGCTAAGATGCATCCTGTTAACAATATTCATAGACGAACGGTGCGCGATCCACGCGATGGCTTTAGGCCCACCTAATTTATACAGCGCGTATCCCGAGCTAAACCGTGCTAGTAGTAGTCTAGTTGTCTCGAACTGCTGTGTACACATTTGGGAGATTGGCTCAGAAAGCTTAATGCGGTTGCGTCAAAACCGATGAAGCCACTGACGCTAACTCGCTCCTATCGTTATCCGTGCCGCATTCGGCCGTAATAGATCAGACGATCAGCCGATATTATTCGGTTCATTAAGAGAGTTCCTGCGTTCTAACGATCCGAGCCAATGCTTCTCGAACTTTCCTCCAACAATCGATTTTCATCGCGAAACAGAGAAATTCGTCATTATTATTGTCATTATTTTAATCGATAATTGGCTAACGATCGAATTCGAGCTTTCCTCCGCTTGGATTACCTCGCGAGATCGACGATCTAATGAAATTCTAGCCTAGGCAAAAATCTATGAAATTTACGGCCCCCTTGAGATGTCGCTCTAACGAGGTATCGAGTCGAATCGAGCTATAAAATTCTGAATGAATAATCCTGTTTCGAGTTTGCGGCGTAGGCTGGCAATTCTCCGGATCCAGGGAATTAATTATTTTATCGGATGTGTAATGCACCGCAGCAAGACCCGACGCGGTGCAACGATTTTAATTTTCACGCCGGATGAAACTCTCTCTCCCCTCCCCTCCCGTTCTTTCCCAACGTATCCTCCCCAGTTTAGAAACAGAAATCCAAAAACGGACGCGAAAATGAAAAATCCAACTCGACGCTGACACCTCACGGCTCTATTCATCTTCCAACGATCTTTCCATAATAAAAATAAATACGAGACATGAACACGGAAATTCCATCCACTGTTCCTCCGATAAGAAAGATTCTCGTATACACACCTTGATCGGCCGAGCCTCTCCTCGGATCCTGCGCTATCAGGCTCGCCTTCGTGCCTCTCCTCTCCTGCAATCCGCTCAGGCTGCCCCTCGGCGTCCTGTCGATCGCGTGCTCGGGATCGATGCCGCGACGCGGGCTCCTCGCCTCCTCCTCGTTCGAGGCCCCGATCGATCCTCTGTGCGCCGCCTCGTTCACGCCGATGCTCCCCCGCGACGATCTCTCGTAAGCCGGCACGATGGAGCTTCTCGGGCTCTGATTCAAGCATTCGGAGGCAATGGACCCCCTCGGGCTCCTCTGGGGGCTGCGATCGACCAGCTCCATGTTCGTCACGCTCCCCCGCGGGCTCCTCGAACAGTTGGGTATCAAAGAGTGGCGGGGGCTCCGACTCGAGCCGAGGTTCCCGTTCTCGGACATGAGCGACGTCCTCGAGCCGGTCAACGGGACCAGGCTGTTCCTGGGGCTCCTGTTGTGAGTCACGTCCGCCACCAATGAGTTTCGAGGGCTCAACGGGGGTGGGTCGGGGAGCAACGAGTGCCGCGAGCTGTAGAGCATGTCCGGCCCAAGGTTCGCGTCCGGGATCAAACTGTTTCGGGGGCTTCGCGTCACCCCTCCGTTCCTGGGTGCTCGGTAGTAATCGTCCGGGACCAGAGAGTTTCGAGGGCTTCGTGCCATCTTCTGGTTGAACACCGTGTTCCTCGCGTCGACATATTGATCCCGCTCCGGCAGAGGCTTGTGGTTGATGGCCTGAAAGGTGAACGATGTCTCGGCATTCTCCGACGTGGGGGAGAACGTTGAGAGAAAGGGAATCGTCGGGATGTGTGCGTACGACATTGGCCAATTTCCGTGCATCGCGTGGAAAGAAGAAGTAGGTATCGATACGATCCCTATTTTTCGTCCTCTCCAATTTTAAGGTCGATTACGTTGTGGAGAGGAAGAAGAAGAGGAGGAAGATGTTGGAAAAGAATTCTCGAGGAGGAGTAATTTTTGTCTCTGACGGGGGTCGCAACGGTTTTCCAAGATTGAAGAGGAAACTTGTTTCGTCTCGAAGGTTTCGAGATATTTCGGAATGGTCGTTACTTTGATGTTCGAGCTTTTTTACCCCCTTTCCCCCTCCTCTGAGATATTATTACAATCCGCGATATTTAGAGCAGGTTTGCATCATCGTTATCGTAGTTACGCGAAGAATATACTACGAAATTACTACGAAATTATATATCGTCAAGAGGGGGAAAGGAGTGTAAGTGGGAATGAGGAGTGTAACGATTAATCGTGAAACAACCTCGACGCCGTTTCCCATATCGAGAGCGATATCAGGCACGATGCTGCCCCGTGGCGAACGTTGACGTTCCATCGTTCCTCTGAGAGTCGTCGGTGGCAAGTCGACAGGTTTGTCGGTTGCCACGCTGGCGCGCCTCCCCCTTGGTCCGGCGATCGGCGAGGTATGGCCGAGATTGGTCATGTTCCGCGATGCTCTACAGCGCCGCGATGATGTGCTCCGATGCAACATCACAGAGGCATTTTCTCATCCCTGGAAAATCGAAAAACAAAACTTTTCTCGTTTCTCTCGTTTCTTTGAAATGAAAAAGGAAGGAAAAAAGGAATTCATTCTCAACGAGGAATAAAACGTCGTTAAATCGATTAATTCTTATTAATTATATATTGCTAGTTGGTTTCTCTGGATCGTGCGAAAGGTTAAACGTCGATTCCATCGAATATCTTTCAACAAAATTGCTAATTCTAATTAAATCGTTAACGAAGGATTAACGAGACCTTGGGGCAAAAGGTCTCGAGGAAACGAGAAGCTAATCGGCTTAATACTTTATTTTCTTTTTTTCGTCGAAATATTTTTGCTCGGCAAGCATGCAAAGTGTCGACGAGCATGAAACGCAGAGGTCCTCAGGTTAGCCTGGAAAAGATAATCAACAGTATGGAATCAATTTCTTCAAGCAAGGCAGAGGACACGCCAGGTACGTAATAAACCGGCTTTTATAAAGATGACCCAGATACTCCCCCTCCCCTGGTACAGGCATCGAGCTCATCGAGCTTTCGATCCTCCTTGATCGCGACGAATATTTTCACGATATCTTGGGGGTGCGACGAGGGTAAGCGAGTTCCGCTCGAGCAACGATTAATCATGAACGTGAGCGAACGATATGGTGGAAATGATGCCGTTATTTAATGAAACGCCTTCGTAGGCGAATGATTCGTAATTGAATTTACGCGCTGTTACTTTTCATTCGATTCGTCTCCCTTTTTCGTCCAACGAATTTCAAATCTCTGCTCGCAACAATTGCGCGAAAAGTTTCAAGCTTTTCCGTATTTTTAAGCGTTAAAGTTTTTTTTTCAACTATCGTCAGACAAAACAGTAACAAATTACGAAATAGTAGTAACTGTGTATTATAAAGTTGGATCGTAATGTAATTAATAAATAACGATAAATTTCATTTTGCAGAAAACTTTTCGTCACGTTTTGCTCAATTTCTCTCGCAAATGATAAAGAGCGCGAGGAAAACGTCTCGTACGTTTCCTCTCCTTCGTCTTCGAAGCGGACGAATCACGCGAAATCGAGTGATACGCGCGAAAGAGGCGCCTTTTTTTCTCTTATGGGAAAATTGGATTCCTCGCCGGGCATCGGATATTTAATAGCTTGGCACGCCAACATTAAGCTTGACAGAGGATGCGCGGTCGCTGATAATTAATGTTCGCGACGACGGGGAAAATGCTCTTCACGAAGGGGAAAACGGCAGTGTCTAACGAATCGAACGGAAATTGCACGCCTTCCGTCCCGTTAATTCTGTAACTTTTCTGGAATGTTATGTCTGCCGCGATAAAGGATGGAAGAAAGGATGGATTCGTAATTCTCTCTTAATTGCTACGAATTAGAGGAACATTGATCTGCTGCGAGGAAGAAATATTAATTTGCTTCACTCTTATCTTCCTCATCGTTTTTAAATGCGATTCTAGATTTTTATTTATGTAATATAATGCAATATAATGTAATTTATAGATAGATATATATATATATATTCATAATAATTATTTTAAATTATTTATTTCATTATTTTATATCGCATCATTCAGTCAATCTAATTTTCGCGCTTTTTCAATCTCGTTTCACGCTAACTAAAGCAAAGGGGTTTAATCCACCGAGTATGTTCATTTTATTGATAGCGTCGAGTTCTCGAATTATTAGCCGCGATTCGTTTAATAAAATTGAACGCCATTCTATTAATCAAATTCGCGTTAATCATCACATATAAAAAGTGTAACGCACCCAGGCGTTTACCTCGAGGAGGTAAAAATTGCATTAATAAATAAATAACATAAATAATGCTTCTCTCTAGAGAATTTCATACTTAACGAATCTTTTCTTTTCCAAAAGGAAAAAAAGGTGAAATTTCGAAAGTTTCCCGATCAAATCTAAAATTAATAAAGCTCGATCGAAATTTAATGACAGGAATAATGGAAATTGAAAACGCTGATTCTCGCAACAAATACACGTGATAATCGACTACGCTCATCGATCTATCAATTTGTCGTCGCAATTCCGCACAATTCCGCACGTTGGTTCACGTTTTTCATCGTTCGTTAATTGTCTCGATGTTTACGAAGTCGGCGTATAATTACGATCGAAGAAGGAAACTAGAGCGATTCCATATATCATTTCCAACGTTAGAAGATTAGATATTGGACACAGCTTGAAAGAGGGTGAAGAATGAAATATCGCGGACAGCAGTGATTCGATTGTTAAACGAAACATGTATAAGTACAGAAAGTGTTACGGTTGAACGACACGAATCGTTTACCTGTTAACGCAGATAACCAATCCAACGAAATCTCTCTCTCTCTCTCTCTCTCTCTCTCTCTCTCTCTCTCTCTCTCTCTCGATTGCAGTCGACGCAGTTACAATTTTTGCGTAACACCGGATATTAATTAAGCAAAAGCCGTCAATTGCTAGCGTTCCAATTGCTAATCGTTTCGATAACTCGTTATTACTATTTTCCTTTTATTCTCGCACGTTATCACGGCACGTTTGTATAATGCTTTTTCCAATGTAATCGCGTGTCGGATAACAAGAACACGCGATCGTTGTTTTAACAGAGTTGAACATTTGATCAAGCTTCACTTTCGTTCCGATCCGAGCGACAATGTTTTTTCTTTTAATTTATCAACTCTTTGCTTTTTTTCCCTGTTCATTTACACGCAAGTTTTATTCGTCATTATATTGATGATAATTTAACGAGGGAAACGACGTAAACACTGTTCAACTTAGTTATCGTTCTATTTTATTTCTCTTGGAAAAGTGATCTTTTTCTTGCTTCTATCACAGAGAGCATTAATTTTATATCGATCGTCTTGACCGTTAGAACGAGAACGTTATTGAAAACGTAAAATTTTAAAGAGAGCAATAAAATACACGCGCAAAGCGAAGGAATAGGAATGTCTTTCTTCGTTGGGGATCAGGTTAATATCTTAACAGTGTCTGTAAATTAATCGTTCTATATCTATAAGAACACAAGGAAATTTAGAACACTCCTTTCAAGGGATCGTCACCGACTTTCCAATTCCCTTCTCGTAACTCAAATCGATACCAATGAATTAAGCACCGAAATATAACACGCTTTGAAATTAAAATATCGTCTCTCGCTATATTAATATTATCTAGCTAAATTAAATTCAAATAGACTTGCAGACTATTTTAATCTCCTAAAAAACATCAAATTCGGTCACCAAGAAAAATCATTGTACGCGAAATTGAAACATCCAGTTTCAACCCACCCTCACGAAAATATTATTCCACCGGAGAAAATTAGTCCAATTAGAAACCAACGACCACATCCTTCATCCTTCATCCCTCATCCCTCGTGCTCCACCCACGGATGGACGGAGCTGTCTTCCATCCATTCTTTCCCGAAAATTCATTTGTCTTCGTCCGCGACGGAGGCGGAGGGAAACAAAAGCCGACGAGTTTAACGGGGCGGAATCAAGGCCAATCTCGAGCCCACCTCCACGCGATTCTCCTCAATTTCTATCGCGACGAGATCACCCCGAAGGGGGAATTTTTCCACCTGGTTTCGCCGCGAAAGCCGGTGGATAAAAGGGGAGATGGAAAGGGATGGAGAGCGTGGAACGGGATCTCCTCGAGAGGCCTCGTTACAGGAAGAATCCGAGAAGACGCGTCTCTTTTTTCAAGATCGATGCGCCCCGAGTATCGTAAACGTCGTTACCGGGAAAATTTCTCATTTCCTCGGACAGAGGAACGGAATCCAGTTCGCGGATTCAGCTTCATCGTTCATCCCAAGATCAAAGTTGTATTTCCATTGATCGAGACGATTGATATTTTCATTCAGGATTGGGAGGGGAGAGGAGGGTCGTTGGGAGAACGAGAGGTGTGAGAACGATCGTTAAAGGTGGATTAGTCGTTCGAGGAGGGGGAGGGTGTTAAAGGATAGTTAGGAAATTGTTCGAGGGATGGAAGATGGGACGAAGGAGGATGTAACGCGACTACTTCTAGCCGGTAGGAAATTTATTCGAATAGGTTGTTGGAAATGAGCCTTCAACTTCTCGCCGATATATAAATTTCGAATTCGAATCGATGGAAATTTTACTAGAAAAAAAGAAAAAAATTTTCGTAGTTGTGTGGCCCATCTTTCGGGTGTTGCGCAACAACGTTTTATTAACCAAGTTCCCAGGACAGAGTTTGAAAAATTGTTATTATTATTTTCCGAGGATGGAAATTATATCACAGACACGCATAGGTTGTTCATTCAAAAGAAATTTCCGACAATAATGTAAAAAAAAAAAAGGGGGGGAAAGAAATATCGAGAATGGAGGGAGCGATATTTGAGCGTTAATTGCTTTAACAAGCAACGATCGATCAACCGAATGTCATATTCTTGACAACAAAAAAAGGAAAAAAAAAAGGAGAGTTCCCTTTGATACAGAACCTCGAAATAAACAATTATAATCGATAACATTTCGGCCCACCTTTATGTATTCCTTTTACTTATATAAATCTGAATAGAAGAAACACTTTTATTGTCTGACATTTACTTTTATTTTCAATTCCATTCCCAGTTTTATTTCATTCGGTGTTGTATTTTTTTTTTTTTTACAACTACGATTTTAATTTTCGTACGATAAGATAAGAAACAAAGTACAAAAGTTGTCGAAATGAAATTTTCGAAAGGGAGAAAAAAAGAGAAAAAGAAGAAGAAGAAGAAGAATGAAAAGCAGAATAACGAATATTCGGCGTTGCCGGATATTTATCCGACAATGCAAATGGAATGCACTTCGTGACAATCGAGAAAATAGTTGCATTCGTGAGGATAAGTTACGTGCAATCGAGCTTCAAGTTTTGAAGCTGTTGTTAAACGCTCGAACGCCATTCTATTCTCTTTTTTTTTCAAACGAATGACCGGGGTATCTCGCCTAAAAAAAGTCTCTGGAATGCACTTCGTTTAATTTTACACCGTCAGTTTTTTAATTCCGAGTGAGAAGATGAAA